AAATGCCTATAATAAAACAATCAATAATCCTATAACCGCGATTTTGCAATTGTGTTATAAGTCAAATGGTCAGAGTACTTTGTGGCACAGTAGTTTCGTGATAACGTTTTTCATCCATCACATAGTCATACTAACATCAATATTGACAAATGACATTAACTCCGACGTTGTCTGAAGGACATTACTGTTGAGAACTACCCCAGGATCGCCAACAAAATTTTGCAGTCACATGATGATCGACGACAAATTATCCAATTGTTAATCACGATTTGGTGTAACGTAACATATGTTCGTTTTGTCAAAAATCGCTTATTTCTCAAAAACCTCACCGTCTACACATTAACAAAAGTTTTTCTTGAGCGATTTTGCTATTAGAATTTCTAAAATCCTATTAAAACATAGACCCTACCCTAACTTAAAGAATTTTTGTTGATATCACATGACTGCAAAATTTGAGGCATAGAGCACCTGATGTCTGTTTGTGTGTGCACAAATTACGGATTTTGATTGGCTAGATCAGGTGCAATGTAAAAAATCAAAACAACCAATGACCAATATTTATTGGCTAAATCAGTGTCCGTGTGTTAACAAATTCTAAATTTTGATTGGCTATATCAGGTGTAACGCAAAAATCAAAACAATCAATAACCAACGTTTATTGGCTAGATCGGGTGTAACATAAAATATTTTAAAAAGCAAACCCCTATCTCTTTTGATTTTTTTAATGTTTTAAATTGTTGTTATTTGGGAACGAGAGAATGAGTTGGAAATCGAAGAAATAAGAGTTCGAGTTGTATTGTCGAGATTTAAATATTTTCCTTTAGACCAAGATGTTAATGATTTAAGAGAAAAATAGAATGAACTCACTGAATCCCAGGTATGGTATTTCTCTTGGGATCCTAGTACGGCTTGCTTTGCTCGTGGTCCCGAGAGGATCCTAGTACGGCTTGCTTTGCTTGTGGTCCCAGGTATTTGGTTGTCAATTTGAATATAGTATCTCTTGGGATCCTAGTACGGCTTGCTTT